AAGATTAATCTGTAAGGCAATAGTTGTATGCAGAAAACCAGTAGAAGCAGTGACAGTAAAGTAGGGGGGAAGAAGGGAGGAAAGAAGGGAGGGAGGGAGAAAGGAAAGAAGGAAGGAAGGAAGGAAAGGAGAGGAAGAATGAGGAGGTTGCCACATTTTGGACGACGGGTATTGGTTATGCGTGCGTTGTTGTTGGCGATAGTTGGTGATGCTGTTGGTGCTGTTGCAGCCGCCGGTGGTGGTGGTGGTGGTGGTTTTCAAGCAGCAATTGCAGCAGCAGTAAACAACAGACCACAATGATGACAAACAACAATCGAAACAAACATAACAGCTGTGGATGATGGTGATGGCGATGCTGCTGTTGTTGGTGATTGCTCTACTGGGTTTGTATAATTTGTATTTGAATATCAACTCATTGCTAAGCTGCTGCTGCTGCTTCTGCTTCTACTGCTATTGATGCTTCTGTTGCTGCTAATGATAACAAGAATGACCACGATGACAACTAAGATTACCAGAAACAACTGCGGAAAAAAAAAAGGTCCAATGAAAGTTAAATCTTTTTAACAGTCGAATAATTAAAACTACCAAATTTATTCACACTATCAGTTGTTATTACTCTAATTTCATACATGTAAAAACTTCATAATTTTGCACCTAATGACACCGATAATTACAAATACTGCCAATATAACTCAACAATTGCCCGGTATAGGCAATGAAGCTATCCATTAAAAACATCTTTGAAAATTGCTACTTATTATACATAATTATTTCTCCTTATGTATCTCTGTATGCTGCAGAATATTTTTTGCAAGCAAAAAAGGCTTAAAAATACGTTTTTTCGTCTTCTCTGACAGCTGTTTACAGGTTAAAAAAATGTTGAAAAATAATTTACATCTCAAAAAGAAAAAGAAAAAAAAAACTAAAAATGTTAAAAATGAAACAATTTCGGTGGCAGAAGTTGCTTCCTACTCTAATTTCTCCATCACTCGCCAGCAATTAGTTGCAGAAAACAAAACACAGAATATAATACCTTAGCACTTCGGTGTTTTGTTTTCTGCAACTTATTGTTAAACTTTTTGTTGCTTAGTTCAGTGATTTGATACTTAAATAAACGTTGGGTGTTAAACGAATGTTCACTATTTTTGTTGTCAGAACATCGTTACTAGACTGTGGTTAAAAATCAACAGAATAAGTTGAAAGTTTATAGAAGAAAAAAAGAAAATTAAACTTCAATCACTTTTTTCTTTCTGCTATCATTTCCGTCTTTTCTTTGTTTTAAACTCCTCTTTTTTTTCCAATAATCCAATTTGCAAATATAATAAGAGGGAAAAAAATTATCTGAAAAAGTTTTTCTTTACGAAATAGAAAATTTCAACAAATAAAATTTAACTAAACATGAAAAAAGGAAGAAAAAGAGAAAAAATGGTTAGATATATGCACAAAAATTGTTTACTATCCATTTGTTGACATTTTTTAACCGCCCAAATAAATCCTTCAGAATAATACCGATCTGTAAAGTCGGTGAACACACACACACACACAGACACACACAGACACACAAATTCTTCAACCCATTTACAACTTTCCTTCTAAAATACCAGAAAAGCATTGTCACTGTAAACAGACGATTCAAATGATTCAAAAAAAGAAAAAAATTCTCCTTCCATTTTATTTGACAGATGTTTTCGTGGTTGAGAAACTGACTACTGAAAAAAAAATTTTTTTTTCTTGTTTTTTTTTTTTTCCCTGCTTTTAGCCACTTTTTAGGAAAAAAAGAAGAAATAGTCAAGTTGACGTCAAGTGCTTTTAAAATTGGCTACCTATTTTACATCTTCCTTTTGTTTAGAAGATAATCAACTTTTTCAAGAAATTACTGTTATAATAAGAGCCCAAATGTTGCAGTTTTTTCAAGAATTATACAACAAATTAAGAAAAAAAGAAGCCAATGTCAATAAAGGTTAAAGAAAACTTTACTGACAGTCATACAAAACAATAATAACTTTTACATTTCTAGTTAATCATCCTGTTACCCAATACTTTTGGCAGTAAATCTGTTTTGACAATAATACTGTCGTTTTACACAATAAAATAGAAACTTCAGAAAAAAGAGTTATTTTCGAGCAAAGAAAAAAAAAGAAAAAAATGCTAAATAATAAAATAATTTGAAAAAGGATTGAAGTTCTTGAAACATACGTAAAAACATTAGTTTTGTTGCAAAATAACAGCAGTAGATCAATAGTTTCAATTGTAGCCAAATTGTTTGCAAACTTCATAGTTTAAGGGCAAAAATGACAGACCTATCATTCATTTATTCGCGCTATACAGCTACAAATGACAAACAAAAATTGGTTTGCTGAAAATAGTCCTAAATTATGTTTTTGAGCAATTGCTGTCAGCAATAACAAACCTATTTTCCTCCTCCAAAACACTATTTGCTGCCCTTTGCATATTGGTGGAAACAATATGATAACCAACACAAATATCGTTGTCTTTTAAAGAAAAAAAGCTGACTGTTTTTCTTCTGGATTAAGTCAAATTTTTGGCTTTTTATGCAGCAAAAAGAGCTGACAGCAACAGAAGAACTATTTATCCGTCTAGACAGTTTAAACAACGATCCCCGTGCAGTAAACAGTTTTGCCTTCTTTGAGCATTGAAACTTGGAGCAAGGCAGGTGATAACAACATCTCGTGATTGTCAACATAATTCTCATACTGAACACCAGAATACACTGGCCAACAGATGATAATAATACCACTGAATGTCACCAAAAAAAGACTTTTTTTTTGCAGTTGTTACGAATAAATTAGTAAAGGAGGAGGAGAAGAAGAGAAATAGAGATTTGAAGAATGATTCATCTACGATCATCTTAATATCTGATATTCAATCTAATAGGGTATTCACTATGACAAATGATTTTGCTATCAGTTAGATCGATGATAGATCATAGAGCAACAACAATTTAATTTTGAATTGTGCAATTGGAACTAAGCAAAAACAACAACGACAAAAATAACAACAACAACAAGGAGAAGAAAAAAAAAAAACCGTTAAATTTGTTCTTATTCCCTAAGCTGCTAGTTCAATATTTTTGCTGTTTTTTTTTTTGTTTTTTTGAAGTAAATTTGCCGACTGTTTACACAATACTTTAGTTGATGAAAAAGAGTTAGTTAATACACAGATGAACAAAAAAAAAAGTGTTCATTGTTTAGTTCTAGTATTAATAAAACTCGTTTAGCAAAAATATAAAGTAAAAAAAAACTCATATTTCTTGAAAATTGATCTATATATGTAAGCGATAAAAATAAAGATGAAGAAGAAGAAGAAAAAAGAAGCTGATAAAAAAAAAAAACTGAACCGAATTGCAGTTATTCAAAACAATCAAATAAAATGCTATAAAGATGACTAAATAAATCTACGATCATTTTCAATGTTCAAACACACAGTTGTAATAAGATTGAATTCGGAATAGCAGCCGGTAATAACGAAGAAAACTGTCATCATAAAGGAAAGAAATAAAATAGAACAGTCTGAGCAGTTTGAAATCTGTTTACAAAAAAATTATTGTTCAAAAGAAAAAAAAAAAAAAAA